TGGAGATCGGTCACCGACTTATAGCCAAGCTCTCCCGGTGCATAAGAGAAATATTATAAAAAAATGTTGTTGTCTTTGATTATTGATGGATTTAGTGTTGTTAATGGTGCTGGAAAGTATATGTGAGTGAATGTGATATGCGGGAGAAGAAGAGCTATTGTACTGTGCGTTTGAAGAAGAGAAAAGAATGAATAATGTTATTTTGATGTTTTAATTTATTAAATTAAAAATAATATAAGCTATAACAGCGCTTTTGAAAGCGCTTTCATAGGGGGGCTTTTACCAACGCTTTTTAGGGTAAAAGCGCTTTCATAGGTCCAGCTATGCCAGCGCTTTTGAAAGCGCTTTCAAAGGCCAATCTTCCACAGCGCTTTTTAAAAAGCGCCTTCATAACCCTATTATTTCGTTTTTATTAATATTTTTATTTGACCTACCACAGCGCTTTTAATGTAAAAAGCGCTTTCGTATCCCCACCTATGCCAGCGCTTTTAAAAAAGCGCCTTCGTAGGTTTCCCTTTTTTTTAATTTTGTTTTTTGTGAAGGCTATGGCAGCGCTTTTTCAATAAGCGCTTTAGTAGAGGCGCTGCAAAAAGCAGTTTTTGGCGTAGTGATATATATATATATATATATATATATATATATATATATATATATATATATATATATATATATATAACAAAGTAATAAAAATTTCTAAGTCATTTTTAGAAAATCACTCTATAAAATATGATTTTATTATGCAAATCAATTATGCACATATAAAAACTATATAATAAAAATAAAATTTATTTTTATGCAAAATATGAATATAAAATTGTATTATTTTTTACATAAATATATGTTTTATTTGTTAAAACAATACAAAAGTGAAATTTTTACTTAAAATTAAAAATTGAAAAAGAATTAAAATATTTAAAAGAAATTTGAAGGAAATTGATAACATAATAAAGATAGTTAAAAAATAGAAAAAAAAACAAAAAAATTTAGTGACCAAAATATCAATCTCTAGTTTTTTTTATATAAATAAAATTTTATATCAAAATTTTTTTTCCAAACCGATTAGGCAGTCACAAAATTTTGATCACTAAATCAGTGACTAATTTATTTTAATTATCAATTTAGCGATTTCATAAATTTAACTTATGGATATCAAAATTTTAATGACTAATCTATTCTCTACAGAAACCAAAATTTTTTAATCATTAAATCGGTCACTAAAAATAATTTTTCTAGTTATTAGGTGGTTATGGGTAACTGTTATTACAGTTATAGTTATTGCACTTTTAAATCTTCAAACTCAATAACAAGTATTGAATGCTTCATTTCACCATCTTCTTCTTTCTCCATTCTTCATTCATGGAGTTTTTCACACAGTTCATAATTGTTTAAGCATCTTTCATGGAATTTCAAGATTCTTCACAAATGTGTTGATTAAATTAAAATACACTTTCTAAACCACGTCCAATTCAAACTAGAAAAATTCAAATAGATATGCAAAAAAATATAATTTCTTCTCAAAAACTAAAAAAATCCGTGTAAGAGATATCAATTTAACAAAGAAAGTATTCCTAGGGTTAGTTTTATGCCTAAATCTTAAAAAATTTGATCCCAATTTTAAATCGAAATCCCTAGCTTGAGATACTTATTTAACACACATATAATTTCATATTTATATTTCTCGACTAACTTAATATATATATATATATATATATATATATATATATATATATATATATATATATATATATATATATATATATATATATATATATATATATATATATATATATATATATATATATATATATATATATATATATATATATATATATATATATATATATATATATATATATATAAGGAGGGATATATTTATTATAATTATAATAATTTTTATTATGTATTAGTCAAGAAAATAATTAATATAGAAAATAATAATTATAGTAAATAATAAATAATATTTATATTTATAGTAATAATAGAAGTTAAATTCTTAGATACACACAAACATAACAAATAAATTTAGAAACAATAAGTACAATTTTGTATTAATTAAAAAAATGAATTTTTCTCCCTCATTCCTTATTACAACCACTACATAATTCTAATTAAAAAATATATTAAATTAAAATTTATTCACTCTTTATTGGTTGTTTCTAATGGAGTGTTTGTTTGATTGATTCAAATAGGATTCTCAGGAATGTGAGGTTGCGAATCTCATATTCCAATGTTTGTTTGAAGTTTTAAGAAATTATTCATAGATACTTTATATTCTTTGAAATATAATTTACTCGTGGAATTTCAAAAATTTATTCTCATGTTAATTGATGAGAATCTTACATTCAGAATAAAAAGTAACTACCAATAATTATCCACTTATATATTATTTTTAATATTTTTATATTTATTTTTAAAATCTTAAAACTATAAATAAAATAAAATAATAAAATATTCCTAAGAACCATAATAACTTTTCAAATAAATTGATAAGAATTATTTTCCTAGCAATTACATTCTTAAGAATAACATTCCCGAAATTATAAAGTTAATCCGTCAAACAAACACACCCTAAGAATTTAGATTTATGTATGTTCCTATACAAGTATTTCTCATTAAAGAAAATTTCTATTTTTTTGTCCAATTTTCTTGAAAAATTGATGGTAATTTGATGCATGTCTAAGGATATAAAGAGAAATTGTCAAAAAAAAATTGAAAAGATTTTTTTTCCACTACCAATATCCGGTCCACTGGACCGCCTAATATGATTTGTGGTTAGCTTTGACATCACTTGTTTACAACTTATTTTCAATCGGAGTTGCGAAAAATTATACTACAATCATCTTTATCAAATTTAACGTCAATCACCATTTATTCAATTTACGAATGATCACTTTTAAAGAAGAAGGAAATAAACAATAAATAAATTATCAAAAAAAATTGGATTTCTTTTCCTTAAATATATATTAGATGGTGGTGGATAAAGATTGTTTTAAATTTTTCTTCTTCTTTTCTTTAATGATTGTTACGAAAATTGGATTTCTTTTCTTTAATTTTTTGATAAAGAAACTTTTGGATTATATAACTTGCACATGCACTATCCGAGGTCTTAATTGTTATTATTAAAACAATGCAATTAATACATATAAAAAAAATTTAAAATATTTTTATAATAAAATAATCAAAAAAAATCTTTAAAATATTTGTAACTAATTTTTCAATTGTTTATTTTATTTTTTTTGGTAGTAGGTAGGTGAAAATGGATAAAGAGAAGAAAGAAAAAAGTTAACTTTAATTGTTTATTTTTTAATTGTTTAGTTTTTTATAGTGTTTTGACAAAAGTATATTAATATTACTTTAAATTTTAAAAATGATGCTTAACAAGAAACAAACAATTAAAAGATATATATTTAAAAAAATGTACTACCTAATTAAAAATGAAAGATAGTTAGGCTCTTCCATACTTAACCTTTCATGAAAACAATTTTTTCACTTGATAAAGTCCTTTTTGATAATCTACTAAGCGGCACTTAATCATATTTTTCCTTTATCGCAAGTGACTCTCATCTTTTTCAAACTCAATTGAAATAATTAGGGATGGTAAAAGGAGTCAGGTTTATTGAGTCAGTCTGTTTGATCAATCATTTTTTATAGGTTGGACTGAGGTTTTCGACTCGGTATTTTAAATTGGTCCGCCCCACCTAACCTACTTTAAAAAGCAGACTTAGGCGGAGCAGGGCGAATTTTATCCACGAACTTTTTGTTACGACTTTTTAATTTTTACTTCGAATTAAGATAGTTTTAACTATAAAAACAAAATTATTCTCTTTGGATTATGGTGATTGAATTACATTCTAAATTATTATACAGACAAATTGAATTATAATTGTAAGGTTCTTTATATAATTTTCTAATACATGTATTGATTGGAGAAACTTGATATACAAGAACAATTGTATGGCATAAAGAATTATTAAGTTGTCAATACATTAGATCACATGTTTTTTTTAGAAACAAGTGTTACTTTTAAGAAAAAGAAGAATTCGATTAAAGTATACATGTGACAAATTTAAGATATAACTATTAAGGAATCGATCAATATAATAGTCTATATGACGTACACAATGAGAATGTCAGGTGTTAATATTTTACACACTACTATTTTATGCACTGTGATGTTTTATGCACTGTAATGTTATCATTGTTTATCTTGTGCAAATTATTAACTTGGTTCTTTTAGTAATTAGTTTTTAAATAGGATTACGATGATATGTGTTGTTTATTTATTTATTTTGATACACTTTTTTTTATCGTGTTAGAGGTTATTTGTATGTTTTTCTTGAAATTGGTTTTTATCTATTCTATTTTTATAAGTGTTTGGACTTAATACATGGTGAAGGTATATTATGCGTGGTTAAAAAATATATTTTGTCGGCTTCTTTAGTAATAATTAAATTTTTTTTAAATTATATAATAAATTAAATTATAAAATAAAAAAATAAAAAATTGGCGGGCCGATCCGTCAATCCACCAACTTGTTACTAAACGGGACGAGCTTAACTTTTGAGCTCGGATGCCAAAGTTTACCTATCCCACTTCACTTTTGTACGGGCTTAAACGAAAGAGGCCTAAATGGGTCGGGTCGCCCACTTTGCCGTAACCCATTACCCGGGTAAAACAAATGTATGTGTGATAAACTTTTCCATTTTCCACTACTTTTCACTTACACTTGTGTCTCTCATTTCACAACTCCATTTCTCTCTCCTAATTCAAATTTCTCACTCTCTCGTCTCATTTTCGATCTCTTCATCTTTAAAAAACTCAACCCATTTTTACTCATGTGAGAATTTGTTGTATTTGTTTAATCTTTTTGTCAAACGATGCAATGACGAGTAGCGGCAGTCTCTACGAGGTGCGATTGTGGACGCGAGCAGAGTGGTTCCGACGACGATCTGGGCTACATCTCTGATGGTGGATGCACATGAATGATTATATTCCGAAAGTTACAATGGCTTCTCCTTTTTTCTCTCTTTTGTTTTCGATTTCTTTTGGTTTTCCAAAGACCACTGTTTGGATTTTTTGGGTTCGAATTTTCTTGGATGTGTTTTGTGTGAGGAGTTGTTAGGGTTTCCTTCTTTTAGATCCTCTGATTTTCGCATTTCTGCAGCAAGTTTTATTCCCTTTTGAATACATTTTTCATGTTTCTTATATGTTTGTGTTGCTTCTGTTAGAGCTATGATTTTGTGATATTGCATATTGAAATACTGATGGGATTAGAGGAAGAGTTTGGGCTCAATATTGAGGATGATAACTCTGAAAACATCACAAACATTCAAGAAGCAGCTGATTTTCTAGAGAAGCTGATTCAAAAGAAAGATGAGGCTTAGCTCTATGGAAAATACATTGAGAGTTGAAGTGCAACAGATAAACTTGTAAAAATCTTTCATCATATGTTGTTGTATTTTGGTTTCACTCTAGGCTTTGTTCGATTCTATGTTTTATGGAAAGTCCATGCTTCTCTTGTGTTGTTGATATGTTATTTTTATTCAAAGCTTAAAAAATTTGAATTTGAAGTGGTTGTATTTCAGTTTCACATAACCATGTTAACTTTTCTGTTTTGTATTTCATTTTCAGCTAGAAGAACAAGCTAAACAAGAAGGCCTTGTGTTGTCCCTTCAATGGATTTCTTATGGTGACCTTATGGCAATCTAAGAGTAGAAGACTTTGTTGGGCAGTAATAAGTTGTTGCTATTATCTACTTAAACATTAATGTCTTGGCTATAGTTTCAAAGATTGACTAGCAGGATTACTTTCAGGATTTTGATATGCAATTATCATAGTATTTTCAGTTTGGTTATATTACCACATTTACACTAACCAAAATCTGTTTTATGCAGATTGTTAATCTTCATTATAGGCTTAATAAGGCTCAAATGAAATCCAGGCCAAGTGTTTTATGGTGTTACAAGCACAAGCTTGAACTGAGCAGGTTTATCAGTGTTGTGTTAATAAACAATCTCGTATTTGTTTGTTAAAATTTCATTGAGCTTGAACTGTTTTGGTTCTCTTTCTTTTTTCTTAATTTTTATTTCCTTCAGCACCGCGCTTTATTGTGATGGTATGAATTAGCTATAAAAGAAGTGAGAATCATGACAGTAAGATATGTTCAAACAATATATTTCCTTCTATATTTCAATTATACAATTGTAGGCATTGAGACTTATTGCTTATTTTTGGATATTCAAAAAGGGAGTTTCAAAATGATATATATCATGGATAATCAGCAAGGTTTCCTAATACCCATATGCAATTGTAAATAATGGTTTGCTATATAATGATTCAGTGAGTTCATTTCTTTAATCTATACGAAGTTTGATGTTTTTCTACCTGAACTTTTTGGTCATTTGACTTCTCATAGTTATAAGCATATTCTTAAATGATACTTTATATAATCAATTGGATAAAATTGTCCACTTGGTATAAATCATGACCATATCACCAAATAGATCTAGTAAACTTTTTGTATAACAGTAATGTAACTACAAATATTTTTGAATTTGAGCTGGTTTCTTTGATGCTTTTAGGAATGGGATCAGCTTTAAGCGATGTTTTCAGATTGGTAATAACATAGAAATTATTGACTCATTTGATATTATGTTGCAGATTTGAAGAAGCACACCGTATGATTGATAATATGTTGCATAAAACTTTCACCAACATTAGCTTTATTCGTCTTTTGTCTTTTTTAATTTATGATGAAGATTTGATAATATGTTGCAGAGAACTTTCACCAACATTAGCATAACTATTCCATTTTAAACTGCACACCATATAATTTTTCTTAATATATAAAATTTCAGATGAATATTGGTTTATGCATATGGTTGATTGTATGAAAATCGACGGTTGATATTCGATTTATTTGTGATTTACTATACTTGTCGTGCATGTAATTGTGGATTTATTTTGAACAATTGTTGAATTATCTCAGATGCGTGACAGAGTTGCACCATTGAGTATTACTAATTGGTTGTTGGATAGAATTTGGATTTATCAATAAGTGTTATAGATTTATCACAGGAATCAATTTTTTCTCAATTTGTAACACACATATTCAGTATGCATACACTATTATTTTACTGTTTCTTTCTTACTTAATTATAGATTATGTCATACCAGTTTGAACATAATTTATATCATATCATTATTCTTTGTGATCTTTGTCTGTGCTGGATCCACTGAATAGTGGAAGATTTGTAACACTTTAGATTGTCTTCGGGATTATTGATTGACCTCACAAATCAATACATGTCTTTTCAGCATGAATTGTTCTCACTCATCCACTCTCAAGAAACTTTCGACATCCACCTCAAAATTACTCGAAGTCAAACACGCTTAACTATAGAGTCCTTATGGAACGGGCTACAGAAAATAAGATGCATCTTGTTGGTATAAGTAGTACCTATCAATCCTTATAAGCCTTCCTTCAGCCTTGCAGTTCCTTTACTGCACAGCTTCAAGATCTCTCTTATTCTGATGTAAATTTGACGACCACTTCTGGCCCTCTTTAGTCTCAGGAGTATCTTATTGTCATGCCTCGTGCACCGACAACCATTCTCCCAACTCTCGTTGGCCTTAGGTGTTACATATCCATCAATTTTCGCTTGGTTCGTCCTTAAACCACATTGTATTGGGAGAAGTCTGACTCTGATACTATATCTACATAAATATAAGGCTATATCTCACCATATAAATACATATGTGAAAGCAAACAAAAATATAATCTACAGATCATTTACGTGTACATGATATTTAAATTGATAGACACAAACCAAACAATCACACAATTGATATTGCCTAATATAATTTATACGGAATAGACAGTTGCATAAATTTTAAAATTTTAAATTCTAATTTTAGATTTCAATAATTTAAATTTCTAAACATCAAATATACATATAATATATATCTAATTCCTAACTCAAATTTAGTTTAAAATTACACGAGAAAAAGACCTTACCTTAAACATTTTCTTTAGCAACACTGAATTTTAATATTCTACTGTTGACTGATCGAGTGCTTAATCTTTCGGGTTGAGAATTTTTACAATGTTGAATTGCACCAAAAATGTAATAGTGAGGAGAATATAACTGCTTTGTGGTGTATCTTTTGTGAACTGAAAAGTTCTAGATTGAAATTTTTTGGTGTGAAAGATGAATGAGTTTATAGATTTTTATAAAGTTGAAAGTTGATTGCTGAGAGAAGAGAGGAATAATCGTTACCTCTGTTGAAACAAATAACCGAGAAAATTCAAGGAATGGCCGTCACTTTTTCAAGGTAGGGAGTTAGTTCCTCTTTAGTAGATTTATTCGCTTCCACTAAGTCTAACTACTCCCTCTTTTTAGGAACTCACTCACATAAATTTATTCAACTTAGCTTAAAAGTGATTTCCGTTGTTTTGTATGCTTGAAACGAATCAATTGCCACATGAACATATTAATAGAAAACTAACATTATTAATTTATAATATCATTATATAACAATCAAATAAAGCACCTCGTATCTCTTAACAAAAGCACTAGTTTCTACCACTATCCTACTCCCACTAACTTACCCAATTTAAATAATTAAACTGTGATTATAATTGATTAATTAAAATCACATAGACTAAATTTTAAATTACAACTTATTTAAGAGAAATATCTAGTAAACAAATAATTAAACTAATAAGTATAATTCTGACTCTCAATCTTCATTATTAAATCCAATAAACATATAAGAACTCACAAAATATAATGAGTATTCAAATAAGTAAAAAATTAATAAAAATATTAATAATTTATCAAAATAAACATTTATAAAATAAATACATAAAATCTGTGAACAAATATAAATCAAGATAATTTATTAAACAATATATCCAATTTGTACAAAACTTTGGGATGTTACATGCGACGTATCAATGTATCATATAGTATAGTGGTAGTGTAGGGCTAGTATTTTGTGGACTGATTTCGTAGTATAGTCTCATGCTTTCGATAGGTTTTTTGAATAGCAGCATAAGTAGGCAAATGGTTCAGTGGCGTACAATTCGCGCAACACCCGGTGCAATAACAACTAGACAACTATTGTGTGATTGTTGATTTTTTATGATTGAAGATAGCTATCTCACTAATTTGATTTTGTTATTCTTTTTCAATTTATTGGAGTATGCAAGGATCCTCTAATGGTGATAGTTACAGAACTTTTATCAGGGATGTCACTGCAAAAATATTTGACAAGCTTGCATTTTTGTATATATAGATTTCTCTTATGACAACTACCATTTTTGTAGTGTAACAACAAGGTCGGCGTGTATAGCTTTGTGATTGTTTTATGGGAACTACTAAGTCATTGTTAAATCAGGAGCAGACTTCAATTGAAGTTTTTTAGAGAAAGAGATAAACTTTTATATCTTGTTGTTCTTAAAATAAAATATATTTTAGTCTTTATATAGACTAAAAAGACTTCTATAATTCTAAGAAAGATAACTGTTACTAATAAAAATTATTATAACCTACTACCTTTTGACCTTCCAAATTACATTTGGTTCTTAACTTTCCTACTACCTTATTTAATAAGAAAACTCACTACTAATGACATTAAAGTTTACTCAACAAAACTCCTCTGTAAACTTAAATGTTTCTTCCATCCATCATGCCTATTATTTTCTTGCCTCTGTCGAAGATCTCTTTCGATAGTGGTTTTGTGAAAATATCTGCTGCTTGATCCTTGTTTGCTACATGTTTCAATTCGACACTTCCTTCCTTCACATGTTCTCGAATGAAGTGGAATCGAACGTCAATGTGTTTGCTTCTTTCGTTATTCATTAGATTCTTTGCCAATTCGATTGTTGATTTGTTGTCCACTTGTATTATTGTTGCACCTTCCTGTTTTAGCTCCATCTTGCTCATCAATCTTCTAAGCCATACTGCATGACAAACACACCAAGATGCTGCCACATATTCAGCTTCACACGTCGAAAGTGTTACTATCGGTTGCTTCTTTGATAGCCAAATAAATGTTGTGTTTCCCATGAAGAACACATATCCAGAAGTGCTCTTTCGATCGTCTATATCTCTGTACCAGTCACTGCCAAAATAACCAACTAACTTATAGTCTTATGTTCTTGAATAAAATATTCCAAGTGACACTGTTCCTTTGATGTACCTTAGGATTCGTTTCAATGCCTTCCAATGTGTGTGTATTGACTCCT